TTGAATTGACCGATACATGTAACCAGAACTTAGTCTGACATCTCTGTTTGGCATCCTGATCATCGCACTCGCATTATTCTATTTTACTTTCAGCCGTGTTATAACTGTTTTCATTTCTAAACCCCCTGGTAGATTTTTTGTTTTTGGAACTCACGTCTCTCACTGCTATCACGCACATATTGTCCGTAATCTGTTCGATTTGTTTTATCATTTTCCATGGATATTTGTAGTGGACATTGAACGCTGATGTTTAGATAGGAAAATATGAGTGGTGATCACCTTGTTGGTATGTACAAACAATCTCCTACAACACGGAAATATACACCCAATAATACATAGGAGTTTTTTTCTGCTAATAGGAAATGCAGGCTTATATCAAAGTATTAATTATACTTTGTCTTCTGACACAGCCATAACATATGCCTCTTATATCAAACCACGTCTCATTGGTCAGCGAATAGCACCCTTGAATTGACCGATACCTGTAACCTGAACTTAGTCTGACATCTCTGTTTGGCATCCTGATCATCACACTCGCATTATTCTATTTTAATTTTAGCTGTGTTATAACTGTTTTCATTTCTAAAACCCCTGATAGAATTGTAGTTTTCGAACTAATGGCTTTCACTGCTATCACGCACATAATATCTGTAATATGTTCGAATATTTTTTTATCATTGTCCATGGATATTTGTAGTGGACATTGAACGCTAGTGTTTAGATAGTAAAGTATAGGTGATGATCTCCTTGTTGGTCTGTACAAAATACTATTATAACACTGAAATATACACCTAATAACATAAAGTAATAAAGTTCGTTCTGCAGATAGGAAATGAAACACACAAAAAAATTAAGGCAAATATCAAAGTATTAATGTGGCCATGACGTAGGGAATATGATGTACAGACTTGTTTTGTTTTCATTTTGAATTTCAACCCATGTATGCCAAGTTTTGAATGATGGACCTAGTAGATTCAACCCAGTCTGGAAGTGATTCCTTTTCAGCAAGATGTCGTGTTGCCAATCCTCTAGCATAGTCTTCTTTAAATACACAATCCAAACCATTTGGCTGTATGACTCCCTCAATACCTTCGATTTTTCGTGAAAAACTCTCATCACTTTGCATTATAAATAACATTTTATTGCTTTTAACTACATGTTCAGTTTACATTTGTTTAAGACTTAAAGCGGTTCCATAAAGTCCGTGCCATATTGTTTACGGTAGGACTGTTACAATGTCGAAGTCAATGAATACGCTAACGTCTTCTGAGAAATGAACGAAATCATTACATTTGTATGAGTGCATCACGGATTTGACACTTTTCCCTACATAATCCAGACGGTCATTACATGAAACCGAAGCAGCAATACATAGAGTTTCCTGTCGTTTTCTACGGTATAGATTACTAAGTGTAGGGTTACTGGTAGGGTATTATTGTTTTCGTTAAGTTGGGAAGCAATCTATCAATGAGTTACTCTGTGTTGATTATAAACTCCCATGGAGGATCCAGTGTAGAAAGATGTCTAATATCCACTCATCACTCTGGTTAGGTCAATGAGTAGCACATTTTGACTTGAAACTTCCATAATCACGTTTGAGTTATTTCCCCTTTACCATGTAACTTGAACATTTATATTTGTTTTGTATATAAGTTGTGTCCTTATTTTCAGTTTTTTATATACGCTGATTCATACAAATGCATGTAGGGGATAACTGATATAGGCATAACCTGTTGTTGATCCCATTCATACACAATCATAAATAAAATTTGTTGAAATGAATTTGTTTACTTTTGGGCAAGCTGACAATGATGCATCATGTGATCTTCCCAACGTCGCTCGTCTGCACCCAACGTCGCATTTTTAGATCAAGTTTCAAACTTAGCCGATGTAGTTTTCTAAACTTACCGGGTAAAGGGAAACAACTCTTACTGGTTCTGGAACTCTGGTAAAATACTGGTACAGTGCTATTCCCAAGACTGACGGATAGATTATTTTATCCCATTACATATTAACAACCGTTAAAAGTATTGTAATACAGAGAGAGAGTGTGTGCATATTTCATCGGTAAATAATACACTGCTTGCTTTTTCTCATAATTAAATGTCCACATGAATTTTATCCTCTGTAGTTGTCAACGTCATTACTCAAATACTGGACAGAAACGATCTGTACAGTTTCTGTAAATCTGTAAACAGGCAAACGTTACACTTATCTCCCTCAGATAGAACATTGGACTAACCCGAGTTTTAACGAGGTCGATCTATTTGCAGGGTTAAACCATAGTTTATCACAAAATACGTATCTTTATCAGATGGCATACATGTAGTCTAACCAAGTCAGTAAAATTGAGATGAAGTTCTCATATTTTTCTGTGCGGGTTTTGTAACACGTCAAGATGACACTTTTAGCCCACAAAACATACGGCACCCCAACGTCATTAGACCACGTTATACATATAACTTTTTAGAATATCCTTGATTGATTTAAAGATTATGACCGGCAAAAGATGGATGCGATGATTTCTCTTTTAAACATGCATGTTCAACAAAAGATATTTTATTTGGACTATTGAAACGTGATGCGGTGTGTTAACGACAGGAATTGCAAGATATGTTTATTACGAACTTAATAAATATTTATTCGATTTAATAACATAGTGTTTCTGTACAATGTTTTATCTTGTGAAGATAACCTTGCTATATTATAGGTGTTTTTGTACTTCTGTTATCATTGTTTTTACGGGATTTTAGACCCTGTGGTGCAATGCAGGACATTGCTTTTGGTAAGGTAATAATATCTTTTTTAAATCAGAGGAAATATGTTTGGCAAAGGTTTATTGAATAGTCAGGCGCTTGAAAACCCTGAGCACCCATCCCTTCGATGGATTCAAGAATGATATAAGGTAACACCTCTAAGCTCCGTTTGGTGTACGCATTCGGAGACGTATAAAGATGTAACACGTCTATGACGCACTGTCATCTTGATGGTGAAATTAATTAAGGATTGGTAGTCATATTTTTGACATGCATTTCTTTATGTTACACACCAATGCATGTCAAAAATATGACAACCAATATTTATATTTACATTTTATGTTGATCAACTTACAGTTCACGCAAAAATAAAGACATAATATTAGTCTGAATACGTTTTAACGTCAGGGTAAATCCATACAGAGAACAGCCACCAGTTGACAGTGGAGCAGTGCAATATCCAACGTTGCAGTTATGACGTCATAGGCGTAGCGACATCACAATGGTCCAATGTATGTTAAACGGAAATAGCATACATTGGGCCCAGTAGAAACATCTAGGCTCTGTGCAGTGGAAATGTAAATAGTATATCATGTTTTGTGTTTATTCCGAACGTAGCAAGTTTATCTATTTAATTGATTATGTGTGTGTGTATTAAACTGCACAATCAATATCTGTAACCCTCCCTCTGACATGTTTATCAACTTGGTGTTGAATTATTGACACTTATGGGATACCACACACAGCAGCAGTATAATGGGTCAGCGAACCATGCTGGCGACTTTTGTACCTGTAAGGTCAGTTGTCTGTAGTAGTAACAGGGCACAAAGTGTTAAAGTTAAAAAAAAATATTATGAAATACACTTGATAGAAGGACAATACATATCACAGGTTAATGCCTTCAAATTAGAAAACTTTGTGAGAAATTAAATTGATATCAATACATGACAGTTAACACATTAAAAACGTGTCTGTAAATTAGGATTTGATGAAAAGATTAGGAGCCTTCACAACTAATACTACTTTAATTTTTTGTTTTACTTTTTACTTTTTTAAGCAAATTACTAATTAACATTTCTAAACTTACAAATAATTATGTTATCTACGTAGAGCTCAGGCAACACGCAATAACAAACGCATTATATAGAACAAAATCGAGACGGTAGTATTGGCAGTACTAAACTAATCCTACATTGTATATGACTAGGAATGATGAATACCTTACACGCATAGCCTTTTACAGTATTACTTTTATAGTTTATTCATAGAGATCGTTTTCTAAAGAACCCGGTCTATTTTGTATGAGGACACACCGCGGTGTATATTTACCTGCAGTAACGTCTAATGAACATTACAATAATACCCCCACCGACGTTTAATTATAGAAGACACACGAGACCTATTAATTATTTTATATTGACATATCAGATTATCTGTTGATAACACTCAACTGTTTAGACTATATGTGTTGAAAATGATAATTTGTTTTATCGTCGTCTTGTTTATATTCTTAAACTATACAAGCTCTAATGAAAAGAAGGACAGAGACATGGTTAAGGTATAAACATTTCTTAAAAGGAATAATATTCACAAAACTATTTACACTAAAGCATTTATGCTAAATAAACAGTTATGGCCGGCATACGAACTGACCTAAGCACCCCTCCTTTCGATTTAATAGACTTTCCGTTTCAGGTACATGTGTAGTAGAGGCTTATTCTAAATACAGCATAACATGAAACCCCAACAATAAAAGGAGCATACCTTCACTACTACAGCAGGACCATATTTCTTCAATATCATGTGATGTACTAATTAGCTCTGTCCAACAATATGCCTCGTTTTGAGTTTCGTATGTCGGTTATATTTCTAGGGACAACGAGAAACATGTAAGTGGAAGCTATATAGGAGAAAACCGATCAAGACAGGTTTACCGACAAACTTTTCTTTCTGAAAATAAAATGTACTTCCATTTTGATTTACATAATAACCATGATAACGAATTAGCTTTCCATGCCAACAAAACCCGTCGATTTATAATCAGAATGTACCTGATGCCTTCGACATATATAAAGTATTTGCCAGTCGAAAACTGCATAATATATCCAGATAAGTTTAGACATGTTTACGGCAGGCAACATAATGAAATAAAAGAAATAAAACTGAAAAAAATGCACTGCAACCTTATGAAATTTTGTAGTTTAGTAGAGCAGAACGTTTACTTCCTCATTGTATACCCGTGTACTTGCGACAGAACAGACACAAATCTCCCGCTTTATACGATACGCAGTATATGTATAATGGAGGTGTGTACTATCTGGCTGCTGGAGTTTCTGTGTCTCTTATCCACTTTGGAAATTGTCAACACATCAGGTATGATTGGATGTGCACTTTCTGTTTTTCCTTCATTCTAATAGTAAACATATACGTCACGTTGATCTGGACCTACATGTCTATCCCGTAGCATAAGCCCCATGTGTTTTACCATAGAACACATTGCTTGTATAGAAGGTAGGGGTAAATATATAGATTGTACCCGATGTTCATGTTTCAAACTTCCGCGTTGAGTTGTTGTGACCAAGTATCAAACGATATGCATTTATTTCAGGATATGTACATAGACAACATACTAGCTGTGTTTCAAATATTGCTCTACAATGGCGATTTGTCGCTATTGTTCTTTCTATTGTATTAACATTGAGCGATTTATATGATTCTACAACACTGTTCGCAAGCCAATGACAGTAAAACATCAGTCTTTCATAATCGGTATGAACCAATATGTTCCACCTACAACTTATTGTTATAGATTAACCGAGGGGCGTATTGTCTTTATATATTAGAAGTATCATATTATATATATTTGGTGTTTACGTAAGGTAAGTGTTCTGTGTTTTAAAGGTGCAGATATCTCCGAAAATTTTACGACCGTATATTGTTTATACTGTGTAAATTACTTCCTTGTCTCATAGGTCTCATAAGTAATAACGACAGTATTGTCAAATTCGGATACTGGATCCGAACAACTTCAAAAGATATATCGGCAAAGAAGTAGTACCGGCAGTGAAGATATCGATTCTTGTCGTCAAATATTTGCCATATGCATATCATAACATTTAACAGAAATCAACAGTCACTATGAGACAATAATAGAAAAAGAAAAAAACCCAACATAGTAGTTAAGTATGTAAAGCATGCTCTTGTAATTGCATATCACCTCGGTTAGCTTGTAACCGAAGGCTTATTATTGTACAAAATTCATCTTGAATACGTGAGGTCAAGTGAATCAATATATTTTTTTTAAATAGAACTAATGAGAAAAGTTTATTGTGTAATTGTTCGTGTGGACACGGCGCCTTTGCAGACATTGCCCATAACACCCTGCACGGAAGACTTCTGTTTAATCATCTGTACCTTTCTGGAAAATTCTTAATATAAACAGGTTATCTTCTCAGTTTTGTTTCTTATGTTTATATATTTATTTTGTTTTTGTGCAAATTTTGTTCCTGAGGGGGCATTGTCTATGAGTTCTTTTTGGCGATTATTTGTTGGTGACAAAATCGTCGATACAGATTCAATTGAGTTCTCTTTTTCTCAAATTATTGTTCTTAATCTACTTTTACCATGATATTAATTAAAATTGTGCACTTAGTCATTTCATCCCACAATTCCACTCTTTGACCTCTGTTTACTACCTACTTGAGTTGCAGTAACCCGTCTGCCATTTTGATTTGCAGAGATACCTCTTTTCGACGTTTTCTTTACGTCGTGGTTACACGACCAACTACGCTATACATTTTCTCTCTAGCTTTACTCACATTTTTTGATCTATTATTTCCTGATCTCTTGTCTTCAAGATGCTTTTTAACCATAATTAGCCAACGGTTTCAAGCTTACCGAGATGATATGAACTAACATCAGTGATCACTCTTGTTCGTTTATGGCTGTTTTTAAAGTATATTAATTAGCTACATATGCAATGCATCATATATTTTAAAACGGATAAGAAATATAGTTAAGGATAATTAGCAGTATCAACTAAAAGTCAAACAAAAGTTAAAAAAGGAAATCATCACTATACTAACAGATTCCTGATTATTGATAAATGTTGGTTTATTGGATACATTTTTTACCTATATTAATATCCGTTCTCCATTTCTGTCTTTAAATACTTAATTTAACCATCACCACATGTAGACATGGAAGGCATTGTAATGCCGATAATAGTGCCAATTATAAGTACTTTAGATCAGTCAGATATATATATATATATATATAAATATATAATACTATTTCATTATTTTACAGTTAACACCAGTCGTAAGCCAAATGTCAAAATCACCACTCAAAGTTCAAATCACAGTGCTGCAACCCTTAGTGGCAAAGCAGTAGATGGCTGTAAAAAACAAACCTTCGTCAACTTCAATTGTTGCTCACATACACATCTAAATGAAAAGGAGGCATGGTGGCAAGTAGATCTAGAGGGACTGATCGTTATGGAATACGTCAAAATATACTACAGAAGTGAGTAATCAAATATTTTGTTTTTTATTCAACAATAAAACAAAATTTAGGTTTTAAGTTTCTCGTGTTGTTCATGACCTTTAGACGATACTGTGTTGTCGAACTGCATGTCGTGAAAGACGACTAACATGTAACTCCATCCACATCCCCATCTCACCCGTCTTCATATGACACTGGTTATTGCGAAGACGTAGATCCCGAAATTGAGATTATTGACAATCGAAAACTATATTTACATAATTAAATAGGGAAGGATATTTATTTTGAGCTATACATGGTTAAACGGCCCGTTAGGCCCACCCCGAGACACTTACGTAACTCGCCAGGGTGTGAAAATCAAGGTGAAGGAGAGATATATGCCAAACCGAATGTAAACAAGTACTAATTTTAATGGGGGATCATTACAGATGTCCCCCAACCTGCCCTCATAGTCGCAAAGATGCATCAGAAAAGGATCGCATTGCCATAGTACACCTACAATGTACCTACTAAATTTGAGTGAAATTGAGCAATTTCTAAATTGCAACCAATCATAATTATGTGTGGTTGCTATGGCAACGACAAGTATGCGAATACATTTGCAGTCCCCTAATACCCCTATATACCAATTTTCATGAAAATCGAAGAATATCTAAATTTCGACCAATCAGAAGCCTCCGTGTGGTTGCTATGGTGACAAAACTTATGCAGTTTTATTCGCAGTCCCCTAATACACCCATATACCAATTTTCATAAAAAATCGAAAAATATCTAAATTTTGACCATTCAGAAGCATCCATGTGGTTGCAATGGCAACGAAACATATGCAGTTTAATTCGCAGGACCTTTAAACCCTTATATACCCAATTTTCATTTAAATCCAACAATATCTGAATTTCCACCAGTCAGAAGCATTTGTGTGGTTGTTATATTGTTGCTATGAAAACGCAACCTATCCGTTTGACTTTGCAGTCTCCTAATACCCCTATATACTAATTTTCACCAAAATCGAACAATATCTAAATTTCGACCAATCAGAACCCTCCGTGTGATTGCTATGGTAACGAAACTCATTCGGTTTTATTCGCAGTCCCCTAATAACCCTAAATACCAATTTTCATAAATGTCGTAAACATATGTAAATTTCGACCAATCAGAAGCCTCCTTGTGATTGCTATGGTAACGAAACGTATGCGGTTTTATTCGCAGTCCCCTAATACCTCTATATACCAATGTTCATGAAAATCGTTAAAATATCTAAATTTCGATCAATCAGAAGCCTCCGTGTGATTGCTATGGTAACGCAACATATGCGCTTGAATTCGCAGTCCCCTTATACCCCTATATACCAATGTTCATAAAAATCGAACAACATCTAAATTTCGACCAATCAGAAGCCGCTGTCCGGCTGACCAGTAGGTTGACCGATCGAAAAACAAAAATATTCTTGCGGTACACGAACACTCATGTAGAGTTTCGTTTAATTCTGCCCTACGGTTTTCGAGAAAAGTGTTAGAAACTTCGTCGGCGGAAGAAGGTGGAAGAATTAAGAATAATAATAACAAGTAATAACTGTAACGGATGGCCGTTACAAAAGTCCCCCAACAACTCCTGTTGGACTTAAAATCTTTGGCAGAATCAGACAACATCTAAATTTCGACCAATAAGAGCCCTCAATGTCGTTACCATAGCAACTGTACTTTTCGAAACTGTTACCATCGTGTTTCACATCCCTCAAAACCCCTATGTATCAATTTTGGGCAGAATCAGACAACATTAAAATTGCGACCAATCAGAGGCCTCCATTTCGTTACCATTGCAACTGAGCTTTTCAATACTGTTACCATTATGTTCGGGATCCCTCAAAACCCCTATGTATCAATTTTGGGCAGAATCGGACAACATTTAAATTTTGACCAAACAGAACCCAGTATATGATGGCCATCTTGTCAAATTAGAAAACAGATGTCGTAGTTGAGTTTGCAATGCCATATTGCACATACATACTAAATTTGAACGAAATCGAACTACAACGGAGCTTCGACCAATCAGTAACCAGTATATGGCAGCCATTTTGTTTAATTAGAAAACGGATGTCATAGTTGAGTTCGCGGTACAATCATGCACCTACATGCCAAATTTGGAATGCATTGGGAAATATCTATAAAACATATAAAATACGATAGGTGACATTGGCTATCTTAAGCGAACACCTTTTGAAATTTTAAATTAAAAAAAAAATATCAAAAATTCATGGCGGCCAGCTTTGACTTCCGGTCGAGATAAAAAATAGTTTGTTGCACACCTAGACCACCTAATGAGTATGTGTGTGTAATTTCATGATGATCCGCCCAGTAGTTTATGAGAAAAACCTCCGAATAAGTTCATGGCTGTAGAAGAAAATGAAGAAGAACACAGAAGAGTAATAATAATAAGAAGAAACGGAGTTAAATAAATAAGTCCCCGAACTTTGTTTTGGGGGAGTTAATAATTAGAAACGGAGTAAAAACAATAAGTCCCCAAACTTTGTTTGAGAACTTAATAATAAGAAACGGAGCAAAAACAACATGTCCCCAAGCTTTGTTTGGGGGACATAATTACAAATAATAAACGCCCAGTTATGTGTTCCTAACGGTCATATGGTATCACATATCAGGTCTTCCCGTCAGGCACAGGCCAGGTAAAACTCCGGTCACTCATCAAATTGTTATTAACCTGTTCTGTTACCTTGGAGCCAAACCCATTCTTGACAGTCTAACGGTCACTGTAATACTGTGTAACACGCATAGTGAAATTGTACATAATCTTAATTATCGTGATTATAACTTACAGTAATATATACAATGTACATTATTGTATACGAGAATTCCGTATATTTTTCATTTCGTAATATTGATCAAGTTGTACCAAATCGCACAGTTGTACGGAGAGAAGCGCACAACGGGGCGAACGATTGTTAAATCGCACATGTGTACGCACCATATGTGGACGATACGCGGACGATGTGTGGACGATGTATGCACGGTGTGCGTACGCTATTTTTGGTGCGTTGCGCGGTCACACAACTGTACATGTAATAACCTAAAAAAGCAAAATGCAATGTACATTCAATGGCGTATATCGTATACAATAGACATATCTGGTTGCCTATGTTGTTTGTAGTGCTTTCCATCAAGTCGACATTCCGACTAATGAATCGTCTCTACACCAGAGGTTTTCGTAAGACTGTTTAATATAGACCCTGATTGAGCTCTTGGTTTTTAACGACGGACTGGTGTGTACACTACTTGTATTGTAAACCTCAAGCCAACGGTCGATGCATATGTGTGTACTTCTGTCCGTGTACCTAAGGATAGGAGGTGTGACAAAGCCAAGCCTTGTTAGGCACACTTTTTTAAGGAAAATTACCGATGAGAACAACCAACATATAATCAATGATTCCTCCCTTTATACATGCTTTAATGTGATATATCAATTAAATGGAACATAACGAAAGTATAACCGATAAAAAATAAATTGATTTTATTATCAAGATAAATTTACCTAGTTAATGATAAGTGCAAACAGGGAAGTGTGGCAAAGTAGGGCGTCAAAAATTAGTTGAAATGGAAATAAAAAATATAACTATACCGAATGTAAAAATGTATACTGCAGTTTTATACTAAGTTTTATATAAAAAAAGAGAAAACAAATGGAAATCCCTAATTTCTCATGATGTTTCTGCATTGGTCGTTTGTTACAGAATATGCAGTTTTTTTTCTGCGTAAAAACAGTATATACTCATAAGCTCTAGTGGATAATATTGTTTATCAAACTTAGATGAAGGGTATCAGCAACAAGAACGATTTGGTGGCTATCAAATATACCAGTCGAACACGTCGGATTGGCAGAACGGTCACCTTTGCCATAAAGACACAACATCAACGCCAGCCACGTTATCATTGACTCCCCAGATACAATGTACAGGTAGCGCCAAGTTCCTGACAATATACAGCGACAGACGGGCAGGAGGTTTAGTGTGGTACTCTAATAACGCTATTCTGGAGCTGTGTGAGGTAGAAGTGTACGGTACGTAACTGACATACTTAACCTTAAAATATTATATTCACACTAGAAGAGAATATTGAGGGATAATGGAACTTTCAGAAGTTGTATTTTAGACATAAATGAATATTCATGAATCCCTATCTAAGATAAATGGTTAACCATAACAACATCTTAGCAATACACTCAAAGTATTTGTTCATTTTTTTTCTTTTTTTTTCTGTTACAGGATAGGTGTCTTCCATTTCAATAATCAATTTTGCTATTTGTTAAGTTTTGTATGTCTACAAGTCAGTGTATTATGTTGCAATTAAAAAGTTAGTATACATTTTTGTGCATCATTATAACGTTGTGGAAGAGGTCACATATACAGAAATTTGTACATCCAAGCTATTTGGCCAATGATAGAACAATAAAAATTGGTTAAACTAGTTTATTATTTATTAAAATGATAACAGATGGGCTTATGCCCGAACTCGTATGTTAATTTATTTCAGGATGTCCGCTTGGGAAATATGGTGATGGTAATTGTGATTCAGATTGTGATGTAGGATGTGCCAAAAGTCTGTGTGATCCAGTGACCGGAGGATGTGCAAGTAATTACATATATCTAAAGATATTAATACTGGAAAAAGTACAACATGCCATTCGCCTGTGGAACGAGAGAAAACAAATCAGTTTATCATTCATTTTTCTGTTCATGAGAACCGTTGTGATAAAACTCATTTAAAGTATTAGCAAAGAGTGTAGGTCGTCATCATAACTTGATTCAACATACTGTGTATTGTCTTTGCTTTGGCGTCGTATAGGCTTTCGTTGCAGTGAGATCATATATATATGTTTATCATATAAACAATATGATATCATGCTCATTATAACATTATAACATGTTCTTATTCAAGTAATTCAACATATAGTAAGCAGTCTTCAATATACATTTCTATGTATTATATAAAATATCGCCACATAATTCTAAACTCATTGTAGACAATTCGTGTAATAAATGTCTACATTATGTACTTGTTTCATATTATTTTAGACTGTGCAGTTGGATACTATAGGTTTGGATCTTTATGTGTAGAATGCCCCTCTAATTGTTATGATAACATATGTAATGCAGAATCTGGTGTTTGTTCTGGTAAGTGATTCCATATACTTCAGCTTAAAACAACATTCATATGGATATTTTGTTTACATTTTGTGTTAATTTAATTTCTTGTCATAAAATATAATGCATTCGCTGTGGGGACACAAATTCATTCAAATTTTATAAGTATACCACTTCTGAGGTATTATTTGCTGATATATATTCATCAAGTACATGAAATTATATTATGATTTAATTTTTTTATAATAAATTGATAAGATTCGGTTCACAATAAACATTTTTTCTTGCTCAGTTGTGTTTTAAAATACACTTGTATTAAGCACCATTGAGTACAATCACATCATCAGTGACAATTAATGACCTAAAACATAGAAAAGTAAAATGGAGCTTCCTACCATTTTTCGGAATCTGACTTGTTCTTTGTGATTTTCCATGAAAGCGTGTACTCCCGGGTATTATGGAAGCCGTTGTTATCAGACTTGTCCATTCAACTGTAAAGACAACCGATGTATGCAAAGCAATGGAGAGTGTGAAGGTATGTATCCCTGAAAAGAATGAAAAACGTGTAGAGAAATGTGTTATTTAAGGATTAGTTAGGAAATTATATATAATTCACATATGTTTTTGTTATGTTAACAAAGATAATTCAAATACATTTTGATAACATTTAGATTTTTTTAGAACGGCAAACAAATGAAAACTAAAAGGATATGCAAAACATAATATGGTATATAATTTGCAGCCATAAACTGAGGGAAAGAATATATTGCTCAAACGTGCACAGCTATTGGCTTTTTACATAGGGTTTCGGTAAAAATGAACATGATCTTTGCGAATCTAGAAAGGTAATATAGGACATGATAAAATATGTAGAAAGAACACACGACAGAAAAAATAGTATTATATTTAAACACATTCTGGTAGTACTACGCAAAAAAAACTTCACAACATGGTTGTTAAATATCACGTCGCATTATGAATTGGTGATGGTAAATTTCCCGATAATCAAAATGAAAATTAATTACATCATATTGAGGTAGCATTACATTGGAAATCAAGAGGATTCTGAACTTATGTTTATGCATGACATGCATGTAGTACAAAGTTGTTCTATAAGATATAGGTTTGTTTTGTAATGAAATATGCTTGTGAAATGTCAATATGAAAATATATAAAGTTCGTTTTGATTTTGCAATGGCCAGACTGTGAGGATGGATTCTTCGGATCGTCCTGTGATGTCTGCTCTGTTGGTTGTACCAATCATGTCTGTGACAAAATATCCGGAAATTGTAGTCGTAAGTATTTAAAAAAGAACACCTGATCTACGCACTGATGACTAATATTTCAATATATCTCATAATCTATTTTCCTAAATTAAAACAGATGCGTCTGTTGTCAATGAAGTCATATTGTCAGTATATGGTTGTGTATTTTCGTATTTGTCGCTAGTTTAAATTGCAATAAAGGAAAACATTCAAATGATTGAGAATATATAAGATATATAGCAATATACTTCAGTCCATTAAAGCTTATTCCTGTATACCATCAACACCTTTCAGTTCATATGGAACAATGATTAATCAGATAACCAGCGGTAAGTTGCCGCTGTCTTTCAGATTTATGAATGAGTATTAAATAAACGTATAAAGTTTGAAAATACCATCCATTACTACTTAAATTTCAAACACCAATTTAGTGGAAATAGACGTACTCACATTCCATGTCTTCTTTTTAGCTGTTTCTTTAAGCCATGGTTAGGGACGACTCTCTAACTTGGAACGATGACATGCTTTGTTAGTATAACATTGAGGGGTGGGTAGATTAACATGTCCTGAAATCGAAACAGTTTAAAAAAATTAAACCGATGTTTTTTCAATAACTCTCCGATACAAATTAATATAATTGTTGAATAGAAATGCAAGTTAAAATAATTCATCAGGAATGTGCTGTTTAAACGTTTCTTCAATTTGCACACTGAATATATGTGCGTCATACTCTAAAACCCCACGCAGCTTTGAGAGAAGTATACCTAGAATATATATATGTTATGAAAACGGTTAACCTGAATAGATTCGGGGTAAAAAAGTGACATGATTTATTCAAATATATCTCGTAAGATGCGTCTAGGGTCGAGCCCTTTTTATGATGCATGACTGCTATTAGCGCAATTTAACGGCATCTATGGAATGAAGTTATGCTTTTCCAGTTGTTAAAACAACACATGTACACAATACGAGAGAACATGTACAGGTTCAGTGACTTTGTCATTGAAATTACTTTTAGCTGAAATTTGTTTTGATGTATTCTCTGTTATCTGTGCATGTATAATAAAACGCTCAAGGGCAAGAGAAGTATTTTAATCATTTCAAAAAATCTAATCTGAGGAATTAAGATCTTCGTTTTGTATGCCCAAACTAATGTTTTATAATTATTTGTTCAAATTTGCTATGATTGACTAAATTTCTAAATGAAATTGAAGATAAATACGATGCAATTGTATACTCATTTAAAAAGAGATACAAATGTAAAATCGTATTTATGTTTTATTCAAGCCAGCATTGTTTTGTACTTCTTGTTTGAACATATGCCTAATTTATCGTTTTGTTTCGGTAAAGTAAATAGAATGATGTATTTTTTTAGTTTCAAATGACTGCCGATGTTGTTATTTAAGCATGCAGACCTGGATATTTTGGTGATCCCTGCAACACAAGCTGCCCGTCCAATTGTAAAGGGGATATATGTTATCAGACCAGTGGGATATGTACAGGTATGGTGATATGTAAGGTCATTGACAGAAGTAAAATCATATAATTATATTTTCCCTATTTATTAGTTTGAAACGTGAAATGGTCGGTTACTAATACAAAAAAAACATTAATTCCAAATATTAGGATATCTATCTTTTATTGCATTGACTACTGTAACATCTAGGTTTTGCTGCATTAAATATCCGTTTTAAGTGTGCATAGCAATATATTTAGGACATTTAATGGTGATAATACATGGTGTACAATCATAACGAAACGTTCTTAACGAAAGCCATCACCGATATCTCAATAGCAATGTTAGTCCATTAATCGGGAATATTGTTTAACAAGATATATTCTATTTGAGACGGTTAAATTGTGTTGAGAAAGATATAATTATGATCTTACGTAAAGATATGCTCAGTTTATTTATCGTTGAGACGTGACTGCATGAGATAATGTTTTGTAACGTATGGAATATTACGTTTTTGGCATAGTAAAACAGACAGAGTAAGTAATTTTGGGGTATAGCAAAACTATATCGCATTAAGAAACTTTATATCATACGTCAAGAGATTACTTTAAATATACATTATCAACACACAATTTAAATATATCAAATAACAAAAGGACGTATTTTACTACAGCAAGGCAAATATAATTGCTATAATAAAATTAAAACAAATTGTGTGAATATATATACTTACTGCAACGAGACATCAAACATGTATTTGTTTAATTGTGTTTAGAATGTGCACCCGGGTTTTATGGCATTGACTGTAAGCAGATCTGTCCGGCACACTGTCGATACTCACTATGTGCCAGAAGTAGCGGGGATTGTTCAGGTACAATGCTGCTCACCAACAGCGTCAGTTTCTATTTGCCAATCACTTTTTAGCTCACCGGGTCCGAAGGACCAAGGTGAGCTTATGCCATACCAAAAGTATGCCTATAAAATCAAATTCACTGATGAAAGTAACTACTTTAGTTAACACTTTATTAGTTTACGCGTTTCGCTTAGTTTCAAATGTACCACAACAATACTAAAAAGTGTAATTCCAACAAATCACCTGCATGTACATCACGTAGGAACATATCCTAGTTTGGTAAAAGGGATGTGATTTGAACCCAAGATCTCTTGCAGAGACCTGATTGCATATTTACTACCGCATTTTGGTTATATTTCTATCTGACACTGCATACACACAATATTTGAATTGTACCATCAGCTGTAAAACGGAATTCGGGGCAATATTTAAAATCATTAAAGGGGCATCACGGTGAAGTAACTTTTTTTTTTTTTTTT